GTTTTTAAGGATTTTTATTTTTTATAATTAATCTGCAACTAATGTAATTCACATTTTTGTGAACACAAAAGAGCAATACATTACTTTCCTTGGACATGATAAATCAGAAATCGGTCCTTCAAATGACATTAGGGAAATTGTATTACTTCTTTGTAAATTGTAAGGTCACTATTTTAAGGTTTATATTCTTAGGGTCAGTTTGTAATGATAACTGGTGGTAATATTAATGTGACTTGCTATGTCCTAACAGTAGTAAAAAACTACCATATTAAAACATGAACAAGCTCTTCTCAAAGATAAAAAACAAGGTATTTTCTAAACATTATATTTACTTTCATAGAGGAGCAAGAGGAATCAGTTTATAATCTCTACATCTCTGAAGTAAGAAACATTAGACTTCGGTTAGAGAACTGTGAAGATCGGTTGATTAGACAGATCCGAACTCCACTAGAAAGAGACGATTTGCATGAAAGTGTGTTCAGAATCACAGAGCAGGAGGTAAGATTTATAAGGGTGTTGGGACAAAAATTAACTTAAGGTAATTTACTATCTTAATGACTATCAACTCTCGTGACTTCTTCTTACATGTTCAGCTTTGCCCAGTGGTCACTTTGTGTGGTCTGGTGATGTATTTATTGTTTATTATAAACTAGGATTCTGTAATTCAGTTCTACCTCTGACTCAGGTAAACACAGGAACGTGTACCCTCCTACCCATTATGATGGAGGCTGTAAGGGCTTCTCACCGTGAAAGTCATTATACGTTTGCTGATCACCTGCTATATGCAAAAAGCCCTAAGTTAGATGTTTGGGCCTGAAAGGATGGGCAGTAAGAGAATTTTTGATAATAAAACTTGAATGCAATGGCTTAGTGTATTTGATAAAGAAAAAGTAAAGAATGTGTAGAATTTTAAGTTCATGATCATCATGTAAAATGTGTGTTTTAAAACTGTTTTAAGAAAGATGCCCCATCTGGAATAAAAACCTAATACCTACGTTTGTTTTCTGTTTTGTAGAAACTAAAGAAAGAGCTGGAGCGTCTTAAAGATGATTTGGCAACGATCACAAATAAATGCGAAGAATTTTTCAGTCAAGCAGCAGCCTCTCAGTC